GTCACAGTCACTTGGGATTGCTTCATCTATCACCGCTGCCTTCATCTCTTGCTTGTCGAGCACAACAATGTCTGGTTGGATATCCATCTCCTGTTTGTCCGTCTGGATCTGGAAGTCCCACAGTATCTTAGCCCGTCCGTTCTCCACCCAACTTGGCGGCGTCTCCCACTTTAACTGTTTGGCCTCCAGTCCATACAGCACAGATGTTCCTGTGCATTATTCCAGCCACTTGGTTATGGCGCTCCGTGCTTTGCCTGCCTGGATCTAACATCCTCCTATTAAATGTTGAACTGGCTCAGGGGCATCTTTGCTCAGCCTGCGTCTTGGGTCTTGTCTGGTATGGTAGAACCTGGACTTTATTGCTCGTGTGCTGCGGTTCTGTTCTTGTGCTGCCATGATTAGTGCATCTGCGCTGTCCTTCAGTCCAGCTGTCTCTAGTCACTGGTAGGATTTGTTGATATCAATCTGCCGGTGGTACAATCTGTGTAGGGGCTTATCTTTCCATGATGGCTCCTCTTGTTCCTCCTCTTCCACATTAGGTTTCTACTGCTGCCTGAGACGTTCACTCATTAGTTCATCGTCTGAGAGCTTTCATCCTGATGCGCTCCGGGATCTTAGTGGTTTCATCTTGTTGTGGTTGGGATGCTCACTAGCCCCTCAAGGTGCTGGACTTAGGGTGAACCCCTTCAGGCATTGTGAGGAGTTTTCAGGTCTTGATGTCAGTGGCTTCTATCTCCTCCTTTGTCCAGGCTCTTATACCTGCAGGGTATCTGATGACTGGCGCCGCGTACATGTTGATGACTCGGACTTTGTTCTTTCCATTCAGCTGGTTCTTTTAAGGCAGGTGTAGGTTGCAGGGCACTCGGTTTTAGTAAGAGGGCAGGGCGTCCTCCTTGAATAATGGTAGGAGAAACTCTGTATAGTATATGTGTACATTCTGTATATATGGTATATTTTTGTTTAATTACATGTAGTCAGGATCACAGTACTGATCACCTGTTACCAACACCTGTCAGGTTCAACGTACCCGTCCCAAACATCTGGACTCTGTCTGTTTGGTATCAGTCTGCGTATCGTTAAATCGCAAGTTGTAAAAAAATTCAGATTCAGAAATCTTCTCTGATGTTTCTGTTCGCATGTTTTTTGAAAACATACGAACGTCACTTGTTGGATTGAGTGTAAAGCCTCTTCAGAAGTGATAAGTTTAGACAAAAATAAGCTGACGTCTATAATAACTGCTGTATTTACCTCCGGGCAGAGTCTGAAGGGCTGGATTTATCTGCACGTTTGGCTTTTCCTTTAACGCTGTTATTACCGAGTCAGTTTTCAACCTCGACTGTCTACAGTTTAGACAATCTGAGTGACAAAAGCCTTTATTTTCTTGTCTTTAAATTGGATGCGTGTTTCTGTCTTCACCTGAACGTACCGCAGACAGAAACTGCTGTCATCAACGCAGTCAGAGCTGACCATCCGTCATTAAACACCCCACGCCCTCTGACCTTGAACCTGGAAGTCCCATAGCATCTTAGCCTAAAACTATCATGGCTGCCACTACAAGAGAATTTAAATGTAACTATTTTGGACCTTTGCTTAAAAAAATGTCTTCTAGGGGTCCAAGCTAAATTTTAATTGAATGCTGCTTTAATCCTCCAGCTGCTGAGATGGATTTCCCTGTGAAGCAAGGATTAAGAAGCTTTTCCTGCCGCAGACGAGAGCACAAAATGGTGAAGTTCAATCAGCTCGAACCTCTGACCCGTGCAGCATCTCGTGTCTGGACACAACATTTCTCAAAGCCGTGCTGTGTCACAGATAAACGAGCCCCTCTTTTTTCCACCTGACCTCTCCATTTGGAAGAGGAAATGATGTGCCCCGTGCTGTATGACATTTACCCGTGTGGTACTGGTGTTTCGTCGGAACAAAAAAACAACACCGCTGTCTGAGCGCAGGGAGCTGGAGTCTCCTGCGGTTTCTAAAGGTTAGCAGTAGTCTCGCCTGCGCACGCTCCGTCCTTCTCCACTGCCTTGTCCTTCATTAACTCAAAGTGCAGAGGAGCCACGTGCACAGTAATCAGGATTTATCACCTCTCGCGTCGTGTAAGGACCACATTACAAGCCGTGAGAATGAAATATGCTCCTGTGTTTCGTAATTTTGCACAGCATTTCTCACATTAACCCTGACGGCGCTCTGGCCGGGGCCATCGCAGACTGTACGGCGTGTTCTTCTGCACACGCAACCTCTGACATCAATTTCAAAATGTAAACTAAAATCAGCTTCCAGAGTTCCTTATAGGGTTTAATTTTTGTAAATAATAATTTTAAAAAAGCCTATAGGAGCAACTGAAGGCACAGCCCTGTATAGGCTTTAGTCTCACACACGCCCACGCGAGCGCACACTCGTTCTCTACACACACACATAAACGCACAAGAGCCACAATCAACCAACGGCGGAGCCGGTTGGTACACTCGGCCTGGTTTCCATGGCGACCGGGCTACTGATTCTTCCCCTGCGTGCGGGCGCAGTGGGATGGAGAGACAAAGCGGAGGATGTTTCAACGGGTTTGTGTTTGCTCGTGGGTTTGCCTGTTGTGGGCGCGGCCTTCGTCTCAGCGCCTCGATAGCTTGTGTGTCAAGTTCAACAAGAGCGCACGCCGGCTACAGATGTGCCACAAAGAAATGAAATAAATAAACGCAACTGTCTGCTGCTGCCGTCTGACCACGCCGACAGGTTTTCCTGTCGCTCCAAATGGAGTCAGAGAGGCCGATGGTGGAAAAAGACAGTTCAGGCTCTTTAAAGTCTTGTAACATCAAATCAGAGGCGTTGCCATGACGAAGGCACAGGAGCTGCCGCCTCGAGGTCCAAACACGGAGCCCTTCGGGCCACGCGTGTCTCTGCTGCAGACGAGGCTGAAGAACCGGAAATGGTCTGAAAGTGGCGGTCGCTGCGGTGAGCTGCGCACAGACACGTCACTCGTCTCGCTCTGTCCCAGTCTCTACTGTAACGATTCCTCACTGGAAATGCTCAACAGACCCAGTCTGCTGCACTAACTCCAAGTTTCAAGTCTTTGTGGAAATACTTTTGGAAACTAAAGACCTACAATTCCTTAAAGGGATTCAATTCCCTCGCTGCCTTTCTAGACAGACTTTTAAACTAAGATCAAATTCTACAACAATAAGATTTAGCACAGTGTCTGTTAAAGTGATCTAATTGTAGCCATTTTTGTGTTTTGTAATAGGAGCTGACTGTGGCAGCCGTCATGAATTGTGCTGACTCCAAAATGTAATCAGGTGTAGTTTCAGAGCCAGACATTATTTTCTGAACGTTGCATTAAAACCTGTCCAGTGGTTAATGAGATATTTTGCTAACAGACAAACATGGTTGAATCCAAAAGTTGATGCTAAGGTTTCAGGCAAAAATCTTGTTCAACATGTAGCCCACAGAGTATGTGTTGTGAATGACTCTCAGCTACTGCCACACCGAATTTCAGCTCAATATCTGTAAAATTGATAGAATTATACCTATATCTGTGTTTTCTAAGGTCAGTTGGGTGTGGCGGCCATCTTGAATTGAATTGGCACCAAAAGTTATTCAGTTGTAGGTGAATATCTCGTGATTATTTCCTGAAGGTTTCAATTAAACCTCTCCATTGGTGGATGAAATATTTTGCTAACAGACAGAGTTGATTCCATTAGGTAATGCCAACATTTTAAACACAGATCTCTTACGATCAATTAGCGCTCAGTGTATAAGTTGGGGATCAGTCTCAGCTACCTCCACACCAAATTTCAGCTCAGTATCTCTACAATGTTCCAAGCTATAGCCATTTTGTCTTTGCTACAGTTTCTTAGCTGTGGCAGCCATCTTGAAAGGTGCTAACTCTGAAAGTCAATCAGTTGTAAACACACTTCCTGGCTGAGAGTTTCATGTAGTGCATCCATCGGTTCATGAGATATTTTGCTAACAGTACAGACAAACCGACGCAGGCTCTAACAACAACCGTTACAGCTGCGTTGCCTTTGGTGGCGTTTTGGTAAAAACTCATTTTCAGACTTTAGGAAGTCGTTCAATGCTCATAGAAACAACGCCTGGCTAAGCTGTGAACGCTTTTCAGGGCTGGATTCAGGAGAGGCCTTGAAACGTAATCCGAGCGCTGCTGGTCCGACTGGTCGAGGACCCACTGTTGGATCTGTTAACAGCTCTGTAATCCATCATCCCCCCCGGCTGATTGTGTCATCGCCGGCTACACACGCAGGGCAGGAAGAAAGCTGTGGCATTGCGTCTAAGGTTGCCCTCTAGTGGACGGAGTAGATCCTAGTTTTTAGAGTGCCCCCCGTTTGGCCTTTTGGCACCCGTTCCCAAAGCGCACTCTGATTTGCAGTTTATACGGTTGTATGCGTGTTCTCCACAACAGCCGCTCGTCAAGTTTCCCCTGATTCAGCTTCACCACTGCAGAACCGAACCACCGGTGCTTTTACTTTGTACACCCCCGTGTTTCAGATCGATGCAGGGTGGAGACCGAGACGTTTGGACGAATGAGATCAGAGCAGAACCTGCGGAGGAACGGGGCAAGAAGAGAGAAGGGTGGGGGGTTTCCTGGGCACTGCCCAGCTCTGTCACACGTCAGCTGGGAGCGTTGAATGGCTGACGGCTGCATACCAAACCTCCTTCTGGGTCTCAGCCTGTTCACGTCCCTGTTTCTGTCCAGGCCAGGGCTAAATATATTTACCCAGATTGCAAATGTAGCATAAGTCCTGCAACCCGACCCCCCAACCCCCAGCCCGCTCCGGCTCCCTCTACACAAGGTTCCTCTGGGTTGTGGAGGTGGGAGGTGGGTGTGCGAAGCCATTGGAGGTTAGAAGCGCAGCCTCATAGAGGAGTCCTTCCTGGCTTTATCTCTTCACACACACACACACACACACATGCACTTGTTAAACTAAGACACACATACAACTCGGTCTGTGGCGTGTGGCGTCCCCCCCCCCCCCCTCGGTTTGCCGTGGTGAGGCGAGCGTGGCAAACGAGGTATGGAGAGGACTGAGAGGATCCAAAGGCCCGTGGTGGTAAGAACGATCTCCATATCTCTGACAGCTGGGCATGTTTAGCTGGGAGCTCGACCCGCCGGGCCCGCTCCCTCCACCGTCTGAGTTTTTAAAGTTTGGAGGCACAGGCGCAACTTTCAGGCCGTCTTGGCTCGCCCTCTTCCAGGTTTCCATTTTGGGCCGGGCCGCAGCTGCTGGGAAGGCTCTGCGTTTTTAATTAGAACCCCAGTCCCAGTAGCTGACTCTGACGACCATTTCAGGGGCAGCGGCGGTGGTGGGGGGGACTTTATTCACTACAGTCCCCTTGTCCCCGACAAGCCCGGGCCGAGTCTGGTTGTGATAGTGGGACTTCAGAATGTCCTTGCATTTGGGAACGATGTTTGTATGATTTACAGTTAATTTGATGCTCAGGTGTTGGATTTTTTTAATTTACCGGAACATAATAATCATTTTTCAGAGCTGAAGATTGAATTTCACGGCTTTGTTCTTCACATAAACCAGAAGTCTACAGGCTCGAGGAGATGTTGTCACCATCTGAAGCTTTAAAAGTCATCAGGTCGTTGGTTATTTATCACTTAAATATTTTTAAAAGGCCTCGGAGATCTTAAAGTGCGAGTCTTTTATTGACCGTTTTTGCTGCAACTTCATGAAGACTGGTCAGAACCAAAACATTTCAAGTAAGAAACAAAATCCACGCAATAATTTCCCTCGTTCAACCTTTATTTCTCCAGGTTAGTCTCACTGAGTCACGAGGACTCGTTTACAAGAGAGACCTGTTTTAGACAGACAACATTCAACAATAAAAAGCTATAAAATAAAAAGTAGAGTTATAATAACCATCAAATCAAGGTGCCAGATGAAACAAGGTGAAATACTAAAAACAAGAACATATTTGTTGAGATTTTTCTAATGGCCTTATTGTCGATGAACTCTTTGTTTACGTTGAGTGTGGGCCCACGTTTCTGAACTATCACAATAACTGGAAAACTACCGGAGTAAACGCTTTAAACTGAGCTGTCTGATAACATTCAAGTTCTCTATGTTTAATTTCAAACCTCGCAATTGCCTTTGGAGTCGGATCCACGTTTCTATTTTATCTTTAATATAACTTGCTGAGTTCACCATCGTCGTTTGAGGCTAACTGATTTATAATCTCAAACAGATGAATAAATCTACTTCCTGTTTTTACAGCAGTCAGGTATGTTGAATTTGGAGAACGACCTCACCGTGAGTCAGACAGTCAGTTTGGAGCTAACAAACAATAAAACTGTATTTTTAACACGTTTAAGTGAAAACTTGATGTGCAACCTGCTAAAAGTATCACTTCCTGTTGTCGTTTTGGATCCAGATGTGACTCCGGTTCGTTTTTGTTTCATCTTTGCAGAGGCTTGCAGACCCTCGGGACGCCTGAGATCAATATTTATGTAATATTTATCATTTTTCTGTTTCTTTTATTTATTTTATTTTACTTCATCACAACTAGATTTTGCACTAATAGATTTGTTTTATATTGTGATCAAATTTATTCATTATTTATTGGTTTAGGATCAAAGAATTGCAGCAAAACAACACTGCCCCTCCCCCCCCTCCAATTTTCAGAATTACTGATCGTGGATACACTGTTCAGCCATAACATTACGACCACTGTTTGCTACTTTTTGTTCTTTTTATTTATTTACTTTTAGTCGTTTGTGTTTATTGTTGGTTTTGTTTCATTTTTTGATCCTGCATTTTTTTTGTTTTCTGGGTTCTTTGATGGGCTCCAGCCCCGCCCACTCTCACCTGTCTCCAGTAGTCATCACTCCATTCATCAGTCCCTGTCCATATTGTCCCTCAGTTTCCATTCATTCATCAGACAAGCATTGTGCATGTTCATGCCAGGTCAGGTCCCTTCCCATGTCTTCTTCTTTCAGCTGTTCCCTCTTGGACTCCACAGCGAGTCGTCCTCCTCCATCTTGCTCTGTCCTCACTCCAACTACCTCCATGTTCTCTCTAACTGCATCCATTTATCTCCTTTTTGTCTTTTCCTGGCAGCTGCATGTCTAACATCCTTTTGCCAACCCACTGCACCTCCTCTGGACATGTCCAAACATCTCAGATACCGGAACTCATCGGCTTGAAGCAGAGATTCAGCCTCGACTCAGAGAGAGCCATCCACCTTTTTGTATTCGTAACAAGTTAAATGATGTTCACTGGTCGTAATGTTATGGATGATCATTAAAGACCACAAAGCAGACATGAATACAAACCTCGTCAGCAGATTCTGTCTGAACGTCAGGAAATGTAATTCTACGTTTTAATCTCTTGTGAAGCGACTGTGTCTGATCTGAGCTGTAGGAGTTCCTCTGATGATGTGTAAAAACAGGGGTTTCTGTTCCCGTCTGTGACTCATCTTTCTGGTCATTTCCACTCCGTCCATCTGGTTGCCATGGCGCTGCGACAGAGAAAAGAGAAAAGGCCATTTACGCCGCCAGCTAAAGGGTTCAGATGTCCTTTGCACATGTGTCCGCCCTGTGGGACCTGCAGCTTCTTCTTTTCTCCTCTTATTCCAGCTGTTAATTTACTCTCTCTGTCTTGAGATGATATAATCTCACATCTGTGCTCAGTGTACACTGTATTAATCTTCCTCGATGACGTGTTCCTAAAGAAACTTCAGATAACACAAAAAAAGGAAATGCAACCTTCTCACTTTTCCTTCTTCTTCACGATTCTCACTTCGTCAGATGTGATAAGTGCGAAGTCGTTTTTATCTGTTTAATTATCGAGGCGGAGGGTTCGCAGTATGTGTTACCCCGGGATGGTAATCAGGTCTTACAGCACCTGCTGCCATGCTCCGGTTGGTTCACTAAAATCTTTCAACTCTGCCCTGTTAGCTGGCACAGAAACAGGACGACAGAGACGATTTTATAAAGCAGAGGACTGATCATTAAACTATCCCAACAAGAGTCTCCATCTTCTAACGCTTATCTGCAGTCGGGTTGTGGAGGCAACAGGTCCAGAAGTGAAACACAGACTTCCCTCTCCCCAACGACACTCTCCAGCGCCTCCTTTTTGTTTAATTCAACAGTTATTTACACAGATAAATCACAATGAGCCTATACTCAGTTACAAGTGAGACCTGTTTAGACAAACAAAATCTGATGAAAGTGACACGTGTTTAGGATTTGAAGGCAAAAAAATTTTCTATCAAACTCTCACTCCTTGGCCGAGGAGAGAGAGCCTGACATTGAAAAAAACACCCTGCACATGGTGACGCAGACATTCTGCAGGGGAGCGGAGACGACAAGATCCTTAGAGATCTCTGGTGTTTCCAGACGTGAGAGGATATGTAATCCCTTTAGCGAGAGCTAGTTTGGGGGTTTCTTCCCAGACATGACCGGAAAACCTTCAAAGGGAGTCATCCTAATCAGATGAAACACCTCAGCTGACTCCTTTCATTGCAGAGGAGCTCCTCTCCCTGTCTCTATGCCTGAGCTCGGCCACCCATCAAAGGAAGCTCATTTCATTTACCACAGGTGAAGGTTGGAACACAGACACCAGTGAATCCAGAGCTTTGCCTTTCCACTCAACTCTTTCTTCACCACGAAAGATCGAAGCAACGCCCTCATTACTGAGGACGGTGCCCCAATCTGTCGGTCCATCTCCCACTCCATCCTACCACATGAACAAGATGCTCAGATGCTTTAATTCCTCAATCTGAGGCAAAGACTCCCCCTCGACCCAAAGGGGGCTCCAGTTGAAAACCTGGTTCTGGACTCTCATCCCAGCTGGCCTCAAACCTCCCCAGTGCCCGCTGAAGGTCATGGTCCGAAAACATCAACAATAATAACGCTAAGTCAAAATGTTCATCGTCTTGTAAAAACTAGTCTCCTTTACTATTGTAGCCCGCTATAGTTTGTCTGTTAGCAAAATATTGCATGAACCAGTGGATGAAATTCAACTAAACTTGCAGGAAGTAACCCCTGGATGTACAGCTACACCTGTTCAAGATGGCTGCCACAGCCAACTGACCATAAAAAACACAAACATGGCTACACATCGGTCCGTTTTACAGACATTGACCTAAAATTTGACGTGGTAGTAGCTGAGAGTCTTTCCCAACACACACTCCGAGTGTGATGTTGAATTATTTTCAAGGTTTTACCAAAAACTGCTGTAACTTTGCGGCTTCTCATCATAAAATGTTTTAAATTTAAAGCAGTAAAGGCAAGATTCATTCCTTTGAGGAACACTAGTTCCTTAATTAGCCTTTTACCGTCCTGCCCTCTATTACCGTTTAGTGTTAATTCCAGTGAGGCGCACATTCGTTAACAGAGTGGGAAGGGGAGACGAGATGATCAAGCAGCATCACCTCTCCTCCTTCTTGTTCCCACACGACAGAAAACTTTCAGCTCCGTCGTATTTCTTGTTAAAACCTCTGATATCCTTTGAAGCCCCTCGAAATGTCATAACGTCTTGTTTGATGCGACTGTTGCTCAAATCTATTCGGCCTCACAGCTTCAGCTCGCACAGCGTGAGGAAAATCATCGATCGGCTGCTGAAAAGCTTCGCCTGCCGATTATTTCCCCTCCGCCTGTTCACAATCGATCCCGACGTCTCCTCTCCCCTTGTGGCCCTCGCCGGCTGCCTGTAACGAGCTGCAGCCGCGGTTACTATGACACTGCCGGGGCCTCTGCCGCGGCTCGGCCAATAGGAACGCAGCTCTGCCGTCAGGTGACCCGTAGCTATTTTGATCAGGAGCTGAATGTGAAGTGAAGCAAGCGGCTAAATTAGAGGCTCAACCTGATGACATCAGAGAGGAAGGAAAAGCTCGTAATTCACTCTGTGAGGACGTTCTGATGGGTTTCATGGGAAAAGACCTTTCAGAGCTTCCTGGGGAGTTTTATTTTTCCTCAACCACCGAGTATTGTCTTTGTCGTCCTTCTTCTGAGTCTCTTTTTTTCTGTGTTGTGTGTGATGTTAATCCAACGGACAGATGAGTCAGAGGCAGACGAGACGAACACAACATCTTTGTCCACCTGTCCTCCGCCCTCGTGTTCCTGCTGCATCACTGACCTGCTGTGAAAACACGGCTCGGTTAGATTTAATTTAAAAGCATTTAGTAAGCGATCAGCTTTTGGTCAACTTGGTTCAAGATGGCCGCCACAGAAAATGGATCTTAACACAAATGGCTAAAACTCTGCCACTTTTATAGAATAAATTCTGCTCTGAGCCATAACTACCCTATTTTTTTAGACTATATGGCGCATTAAGCGAAACAAGTTCCTTTTGACTGATTTTTTAGCTCCGTGTACCAGAGTCAGGAAGACAACCAGAATTAATACATAAGACGCACCGGATTATAAGGCTCACTGTCGATTTTTGAGAATATTAAAGGAGTTTAAGTGCTGTGCCTTATAGTTTAAAAAAAATACGGTAGTGTAACATCAAAACTTTAACCATTGGAATCAACTCTTAATGTCTGTTAGCAAAATATCTCATGAAACGCTGTGAATTTTATTGAAAGTTTCTGAAAGTCATCATCGGGTGCCAGTGGTGCCTCCAGAAATGTTTTAATGGGGTGGCCATGTGGGGGCCGCCCCTTTGCCACCCCAAATACAGCAATACAAGAGTTAGAGAATCACCTTCGATATACACAGGTCTACTGGAATTTGTTTTATCTACAGCTGATATCGCTTATTAAGAGAAGTATTATCACTAGCTTGTCCTCTCCTAAATTTAGATTTATAAAAAAAATGTTATGCTTTAAACCTCCTGAAAGCGTCCTGATGTTGAGGGCATTGGTTTTCAGATGGGTTGTCCTCAGTCAGGGGTGCTAGAGCTTGTTTTATTTTCCATTTTAAATAAACTATATACAGTAGTCCCTCGCTACTTTGCGGTTCATTTATCACGGATTTGCTCTATCACGGTTTTTCAAAATAAGATTGGACATGACACACAATTGGCTGATTGATGGACGAGCCGCACGATCAGCATGGAATTTTTATTTAAAATAAATTATTTTAAATTATTCAGCACCTGCTGCACATTTGTGCAGCTCACACCGCAGGGCAAACTTCCTGCTGCAGCTGATCAGCTGTTCTGCAGAGTAGGGAAGTGGGCGTGGCCAAGAGCACTTGCAACAAAGAGCAGAGGGGGCAGGGAGCTGAAATCATGACATTCTGTGCTCTTTTAGAGCGTTTAGAGTTTAGAAACATTGTTTAGAATATTGCAAGAGTGTGGGAAGGGTTTAAAATGACTTTATATATATTATATAATAATATATATATATTTAGGGGTGGCCATTGCCCCCACTGACACCTCCTTGGCAGCGCCCCTGTTGGCTGCACATCTGAAACTGAACAGTAAACAGCATCTGCTGCTCCACTGAAACAGGAAGTGGGGATGGTTTGTGGATGATCCGAGGATGCGATGGGTCACCGTGGTAACGGGAAGTGTCATGCGTTCATTCTGCTGTTGCCAAGTCGCAGCACGCCTTGGTCCAACATGTGGCGGAGCTAAAATCAACATCTCTGTTTTCTTCACGCTTAACGGAGCAGAGACGGATCAGAGGTGGAGAGGACGGTTAATCACACAGAAATGCTAAAACTTTTTCTTTTCTCTGAACATAATAGAATGAATGAATTTTTTATTTTAATCGCAAGATGTACATCTACAGCTCAATATCATTTATCCATTTAAGATGGCCGCCACAGCTAATCAAATGTAGCAAACACAAAAATATTGACCTAAAATTTGGCGCAGTAGTAGCTGAGCATCGTCCCCAACACATACTTTAGGTGCAACATATTTATTTTAAACTTTGGCATTAACCGTGGGAGTCAACCCTGTTTGTCTGTTAGCAAAATATCTTATGAACCACTGGACTTATTTCAATCAAACGTTCACAAAGTAATCTTTGAATGTGCATCTTCAACTGATAAACATTTGGAATCAACTGAATTCAAGATGGCTGTTACAGCCAGTTGATTTACTTTAGACAGAAGTGTCCATAGCTCAGTCAAATTTACTGACACTGAGCTCAAATTTGAGGCGGTAGTAGCTAAGAGTCATCCTCAACATTTACTCTTTGAAAACTTCTTGTGAGATCACACATAATGTTGATTTCAAGGTTCGATCAAAACTGCTGCAGCCTCGTCCGTTCTGATCATATGATGGGAACATCTCTTTCCACAGCCACTTCCAGTATTCCCAGGCCAGCTGAGAGACATGGGCTCTTCAGCGCAGATCTTCTCCGGGATCTCCTCTCAGCTGGACATGCCTGAAGCACCTCCCTAGGGAGGCGTCCACTCACTTGAACCACCTCAACTGGCTCCTCTCAAGGCTCTCGCCTCAAAAGGCTAGCTAAAAGCATCAAAAGGCTAGCTAAGAGCATCAAA